TCCCAGCCACGTCTTGCACTCTGGCGCGAAGTGAACGGTGCCGAACGGGAGCACGGCGCACACCAGGTACATGGCGTACAGCAGCCCAGCCTGCGAGGGCTTGCGACAGTCAGTGTAGTAACATCCCCATGTCATCTTCGTTATCATTCCCCCACACCTCCTCATTATCCTCCATGTCGGGCCCCCCCATCCTCATTCCCGTACATGCTCCACCTCCTCCTCGTCATCCGTCTCTTGTTCCCCCTCCCCCTCCCCCCCACCTCATCGTCCTCGTCTTTCCTCCACCCCCGCCTCATTCCTCATCCTCCACGTCCTCCACCTCATCGTCCTCCACGTCCTCCACCCCCGCCTCACTCCACGTCCTCCACCTCATCGTCCTCGTCTTTCCTCATTCCTCCCGAAACGGTAGCGATGAGAGGGGTGGGGAAGTGTTTTGCCCGACGGGAGCCACGGTGCATATGTTCTGGGCGGCGCCGTCGTCGACTCGGTCGAAGGTGGCGCTCTTGTGGCCGAGCCTGGCGACGTGGAAAGAGATGCCAGCTTTCCCTGAAAACAGCTCTGCGAATACGAGCGAGCGGGGGATGGCGGCCATCGATCCCATCAAATAGTCGACGGCCGCGGAGAAGGCAATCTCACTGCCGCCATCCTCGGAAAACATGATCTCTCGAATTCCATTCTTGGCAAGCTCTGCTGACCCAGCTGCTGCCCACTGCAGGCCATCAACCAGCGGTGGCTGCACCCCGTGCGCCGTCACCGCAATACATTGCACGATGATCGTTGTCAGCATCCGCCAGCAAGGAGACAGATGCTCTCCCCGAGCGGAAAGAACGGGCAGATATTGAGCAGGTGCTGCAAATGAAATAAACTGAACACCCTGTGCTCGAACCGAGACCGATGGGCAAATATACACACTGACCGTAAAGCGCTGTTCAGAGTCTCGTCAATGAAGCAATTGTACATCTTGGGAGAACCGTGCTCGGGAATCCTCACGAGGTTTCGCATTCGACAGGCTGGGCGAGGGGGAGTGGGGTGGGCGGGGAGGGAAGGCGGGGGCTGTGGCGAGGCGGGAGGGGCGAGGGAATGTCAGTGATGCGAGGAAGAGTTGAGGTAAGGAAGGCGAGGACGAGCAGAGGAGTGACAGCACGGTGGGCGAATGGCTCGGCGACCCGATCGGCCCCCGCAAAAACCGGCTCACGCCAGGCGGCTGGACCACCTCGAAATCTCGGACCTCGCCTACGAGACGGCCCCCAGCCACCCCCACAGTGTAGCAGCTGCCCCCCCTCGCTGGCCAGGGCCTCTCCTCCTCGCGACCACCCCCGTGCCCCCGTCAGTCCTCCTTCCCGCCCAATTCCTAATCATCCGCGTCACTCCTTTCATCCGTATCTTCATTATCATTATCCTCCTTCTCATTCTCCTCCCCCCTCATAATCCTCGTATGCAGTATATAACGTATCGTCATCCACTCCATCATCTTACCTCCTCCCCCTCACTCGAGTGGCCCAAACTTAAGTTTATATACGCATGTCCTGTCGACGAGGTGCGATGTCTGGTGGTGCTTCGGCGTGAGCGTGATGCGTGCCAGCGTACATGATCTCATGTGAATGATGATGGCGTTGGTCATGATGGCAATACTGCTGGTCGGCACCACGCATGTGTGCGACCTCATCTCGCTCAGGAAAGTCTCCAGGGACGCGCCAGCGTGGATGAGCGGAGAACCGAACCTCGCCGAGCCCCCGTGTCGGCCGAGCATGTCTAGGGCGAAAGGCAACATGTAGCCGACTTCAGCTGCTTTCAACGACAGTGGAGCTCCTCCATGGCGAGGCTCCTGGCGGCAAGCAGGTTTTTCGAACGTACATGGAGAATGACATGTTCGTTCGGGCTATTGTTCTATGGTATTACGTGGCTGGGCTATTTAATGTTACAAGTTTGTTAAAGGTTACGTGTTTTTACGTGTGACACGTGTCCTCCAATGTGTGGTCCAGCCTCTTACCTAACATCTTGAGGGTCAGCTTGCCGAGCCTGAGAGCATGAGGTACATTGCGCTCGTGTTGCCAGAGAAGCATGTCAGCCTGGAGTCGTCGAGCACCGACCTCCAATATCTGGTCCAAGTTGCCTCGCACAGCATATACGTTGTACAACAGCAGTCGCCATAACGATGCGCTCACCCAGCGCATGATCGGACCGTAGTACAGACAATGTAAAGAGTCGATGGCAAGGCTCCAAGCTGGGCTAGTGCCAAGACGTAACGAAAATAAAGGACAACGGTGGTTCACTGGGTCCACAATTTTGCGGTTGCCACCTGTGTTATCGTACGTTGATCGCCAGAATATTATTGTCACGGGCAGCTCGGACGTCTCCAGCGAGAACGTGTCTTGCAAGGACGGTGACGGCTCTAGCCGATCCCCACATAGGAGAGGCACGTCATTTATAGTTATATCCCGAGAAAGGACCCTACCGTTGATGCCTTTCTTGCCTTTGGCGGTGATCAAGTCTCGTAGCAGCTGCTCTCGCTCGCCCTGCGTTCGCACCGTGACGCGTTTCTCACGCCTCGCGCAGGCTGTTTCGTAGTCATGGTGCCCCCGTAACAACCACGTCATGTCTGGGCCGAGATGGTCGTAGGATTGGTGCAGTTCGCCCAGCGACGTCTCGCAGAACTGGCATGGATTGTAAGCTGACGCCCAACTGGACAATCCAAGTGATTTGCTATGTTCTGCCCAGTCGCCTTTCACCCAGATCAGGGCGGCGCGGTACGACAGGGGGCCAGACGGCATGTCGTCTGACCACACCGTCCCGCCGTACTGCACCGCAGGGCGGCAGCCGTCGGACATGGCAGCCACCTGCCAAGCGGTAGCCTCTAGATGTGGGTAGATTGTGCACCAGCCTTTGCAGCCGCACATGCAGCTGTCGGAGCTTCTCGTGACCGACACGAGGTGTCGTGTACTCGTTAATAAATTAATAAGCCATATACCCAGAGTACTATCGGTTCGCCCTGACGCAGCACTGATGTAATTCACACCGTCCAGGTAGACCGCGACAGGTACGGGCTGGCGTTCACCTTTTGCCAAGGCGTCCAGCACAATGGGGTGGCGTTGGTAGCACGGTAAATCGAGAACACATTCCTGTCTGGAATCTGGACTCGATGTAAGCATGTCCACGGTGTCCGTGCATGATGTTATCTCTTCCTCGATTGCCTGGAACGCGCACCTCATCGGAGTGCTCCGCACAGTGCGTCTGAAACTACGGTTGAGGTTCACAGGAGTGGCGATGTATATCATACCGGATGGTTCAGGTAACATCTGCGATAACAGCTGTTGGTACTTTCCTGATTGTTTGCCAGGGGGCATCGAATACTGCGCGAAGTTCGCGCCTGGCACCCCAGCCGTGTCGGCGTAGTGGCAGAGGTTGCAAAACTCCATCGCCGTGATTTTGCACGATGCGTACAATTGCAAGGCCAGCTTTAATAACGACTCGCCCGCTATGCGGGATTCAGCGCTAGTGGGCGTCCATCGTCTATGACGAGAGTGTATAGTGCGTGAAGTTCTGCGCCTTTTCTTGGGCGCCATGTTCGACTGTCCGACGCCCGAGTTCTTGAGAGAAAAAAAAAGCTACATCGATCATGATAAATAACGATGCGTTTGACATATGATAGTGCGTATTGATATGGTCGTGCAGTGCGTGCGATTGTGTCTTGGCGTGATTAATGGGTGCACAGACGCATGAGTGGAAGGGTATCGACAGGGATCGACGCTATAAGATGACTACTATGCCGATTATGCTGGTAATGACGATGGTGGTGATGCTGATGATGATGCTAGTGGCCACGTGTCACAGGTGGTAGGTGTTGTAAGGAGCTGGGGCTCACCCTTAGCTCCCCGCTGTGCATTCCCCAAACAGGCCTTGCACTGAACGTACACGAGAAACGAGGCCGACGATGGCATTGCAGAATCGCAATTATCAACGCACCCCGCGGTGCCCACTTTGGCTAGGGGTCCACGTCTCGCGCCTCCCCCTGATGAGTCACATTTTGAACGCAGTGGGAAAAGTGCAACCTGCTGCGCGAGAGAGACACGCGCTCGCCACTACACCGCGAAGCATCGCGGTCGCAGTCTGCATGGTGAGCCACCCGCAAAATGATATTCCAGATTTCGTAATAAAAGTGAGGGGGTCTGGACCCTCCAAGAGAAGCCATTTCAGACATCCCCCGCGGGGGAACCCTCCAAAACATCGTCCCCCGACCCCCCAGGCCCTCCAAGATAGCCTGGAAGAGACCCCCCCGAAATCAGACCCCCCTCACTTTATTACGAAATCTGGGGTATCCGTGGGCAGGCAAGGCAGACGGCGAGTGACCAGAGTGCGAGGACGTCCAAACTCGCTCAGCGCGTGCCCTGGCTCGAACGATCGAGCCACTCTCCCAGCACGCGCCTTAAAGTACTCGCTAAACTGCCTTCCACGCCAGCTCGCAAATCAACGAAGTTCTTAAATAGCAGCTGTGTCAAGCAGCCCCACTTGTCGCAACTGCCTGCTGACCTGTCACATTCGCTGCGAATGCACACGACAAACCACGTGTGCCCAAGAACCTAGCATCCGCTACCCAAACTCACCTGATTTCACTGTTTTCCGATGTCGTCGGAGAGTCACCGGAGAGTCACCGGTGAGTCACCGGTCACCGCGATGTCACCGGTGAGATGACGTGTGGTGTGTCACCGCTACAATCCCTGTAAAAACACAATGAAAACGTAGATGTCATCGATAGGTCACCGGTGCGGTGACATCGGTGACGTCACCGGGTGGTCACCGGTGCGGTGACTCAGGTGATCTTGGGTAGCAGCAGGAAAACGTAAGGTTTCGCCCCTATTTGTTGTTTTTTCTATGTGTTATTGCATTTTCATGTTTGTTGGTAGGCAGGCAGGCACATTCTGCCGAACAAACACTGCTGCATGGGCGCGTGCTGGCGCCCTCGGGGGGTACGGGTCGCGATGCTGGCGTGCCGCCTAACACGATTACTGACCGTCAGCTGCTGACTGGGCCTTCAGGCGCTGCATCTTGATTTTGTGCACATCGTAGGCGGCCGTGCACTCCTGCTCGATCTCGTCCAACGTAGTGTTCAGCTCATTGAGCTTGGTCAAGGCCGTCACGTAGGCGCCGTCGCCGATGTCCCTCCGCAACTTCGGGAGCGGCTCGATCAGCGCCCTGTTCATGTCCACCGTCTTCTGCGCTTGGATCGAGTGGTACAAGGACACGAGGCGCTGCGCTCCCTCATCGGTCTTGGCCCACGACCACAGGGGATCGTTCTCGAAGCCCGTCACCACCGTGAGCGCGTGCGAAATGATCTGGTTGTACCTCGCAATGCCCTTCTTGACATCTGAAGTCAAGCTCTTGATGAAGTCATCACTGTGCCCTGAAGCACCCTTGCCGCCAGCCTTGCCGCCAGCCTTGCCGCCGCCAGACTTCGACTTCTTGGCTGGGTGATCCGCCGCCGCCGCTGGCGCACCTGCCGCCGCGGCGCCGTCCTCCGTGGTCTTCGTCTTCTTCCGCTTCTTGCAGTTGCCCTCGCTCTGGTCAGCACCGTCAGCGGCGGCGGCGTGCTGTGGAGGTACTGCTGGTGGCTGTGGAGGTACGGCTGCTGGCTGTTGTGGTACGGCTGCTGGCTGTGGAGGTACATCTGCTGGCTGTGGAGGTACATCTGCTGGCTGTGGAGGTACAGCTGCTGGCTGCGGAGGTGCATCTGCTGGATGCGGAAGCGCCGCAGCAGGCGTCACGCCGTTCAGGCTGGGCGCTGCGGGGCCGCCGTTCATCTCCTGCGGGAGGTCTGCGCCACTCTCCTTCTCCTCCCCTCCTCCTTCTCCTCTTCCTCCTCCTCCTCGTCCCACCCCGTCCCTCCTCATTATCCTCTCATGTTCCCCCGCTTCCTCCTCCTCATCAGATCCGTTTCCTTCTCCCCCCCCTCTTCCTCATCCTTCTCTCCCCCCTCATCGCCACCCCCATCCCCCCCTCATTGCCCGCCCCCATCTCCTCCACCTATTCTTCCTCCTCATCGTATTAATCCTCTTCATCCTCCTCCCCCGTCTCACTCATCTCCTCGCCATCTTCTCCCCCCCTGATATTCCTCATCCTCCTCCTTCCTCCCCCCGAGTCGATCATTGCGAATCGCCTCTGCCCACTGCGCCACCTGGGGCAACAAACCTACCGACATGGACGCGATGCGAGTCGCCAGCGCGCGTCGGTCGAGTCGCGCACGACGCTCGACCGACGCGCGCCACGACTCGCATCGAGACTTGGAAGTCGGCTGCTTGTTGTAGACCGCACACCTCCTGCTCGCGCTTCTTCGCGGCCCCCTCGCTCTCGACAGCGTCGCTGGACCACTGCTCGAAGATGCTCCACGCCTCGTTGAACGCCACGTTGATGCCCTCCGTCACGTAGAGCAGCCGCAGGCTCTGCGTGACCACGTCGTAGACGATCCACGGCGGCCCCAGCATCATGGCCCTGAGGAACAGCCTGCATGCCTGAGGAGAGGTGATCCCCCTCCTCCTCCTTATACCCATCCTCCTCCTCCCCATCCTCTCTCCATTTCCTCATACTCCTTCTCCCCCTCCTCGCCCTCTCTCCTCCCTCGCTCCCTCCCTCCCCCATCCCTCTCCTCCTCCTCCTCCTCCTCCTCCTCCTCCTCCTCCTCCATCCGCCTCCGCCTCCTCATCCTCCTCCTCATCCTGCTTCGCATCCCTCATCGCTCCTGCTTTGAGGGCATTGATCCCCAATGCCTGCATCCAGCCGAGCTTGCCGCCGCCCTCCTTGTGGGCCACCCTGCCCAGCGGCATGTACTGCCCTTTGCGGTACTTCGTGCTGGAGATCGTCGTCACCTTGCGCTTCGTGCTCACGTAGTTCGTGAACACCTTCTGCGCCCAATCCGCCCTGAAGGCCGACTGGTCGCTCTGGCTGCCCGAGAGCTTCTTGTAGGCGTCATCGAGCTGCTTGTCCTTGGCCTTCGCGCGGTTGAACCGGCTGGCGATGGGGTTCCCCGCCCTCCCGCGGGCCAGGAACTTGAAGTCGCTGCCCTCGAGCTCGCGCATCATGGCCAACTCCGACAGCTGGTCCTCGCTGAAGCCTGTCGTGTCGATCTGGTCGAGCTCGGACTCCCTGGCCGCAACCTGCGGCGCGCTCTGTGAGTTGGGAGCTGGCATCTCGAAGACCGAGTCCAGCGAGGAATCGAGGTGCGTCGACATCATCATCTTGGCGTCGGTGCCGCGGAGCTTCTGTATCTCGTTGACGTCCTGGCTCTTGAAGGCGTCGAGCAGCAGCTGATTGATGGCGAGCTCGTCGATCGAGTCGCTCGATCGCAGGCAGTCCTCGGCGGGTCTGAAAAACGATTTTCAGACAAAGTAGCCGACTGACATAGATCAGCTGACAAAGGGAATTGTGGGGCTCATCGGAGCTGGTCACGCCAAGCTCCCCCCACGCACCGACGTCACCGCCGCGTCACCGCGATGTCACCGATGTCACCGCGATGTCACCGATGTCACCGATATCGGTGACATCGGTGACGTTGCGGTGACGCAGCGGTGACATCGCGGTGATATAGCGGTGACGCGCGCAAAATGCGCTGTGCATGACTGAATGAGAATATGAGGCGAGGGGGTGGTGGTGGTATTCTTGTGATTTGCGTTGCATGGGGAATGGGTTAAGGAGAGTAGTACACACATATTCAATACCAATCCTCGAATGCAGTGACCCTGCTCTCCACGCGCGCGACGCGCTGCCTGGCGGTCTTGGGCGGCGTCTGCACCACGGCCTGAGAGGATAGTGGATAGCAAGAGACAGGGAGGATGGTCGAGGAAGAGGGTGACGACGTGCATCCACGACTAAGGTTGGGACGAGTACGAGGACGACGACGACGACGACGGCGACGACACCTGCGACTACGACGACGACCTGTTACAACGACGACGGACGAGAACGACGACTACGGCGATCGAGGAGCAAGCGAGCTAAAACTGCTTATGGTCTCCAGGGGGCCTCGTCGTCCTTCTCGCCCCCGAAGCTGCCGCTGCCGCCGACGAAGGAACCACTCGTCGCTGCGCCTCCTGCGCTGGGCACCGCCGCTGCGCTGGCTGCCGCTCCTGCGTCGGCGACCTCGCTCCTGCGCTGGGGCCGAGCCGCGCGCCACTCCGCCAAGTCTACGATGTCGGGCTGACGATCGTGCGGCCACGGCGTCGAAACCGAGCTGCCGCTGTCGACCCCCCCAGGCGCCTCCCAGCTGTGCCGAGCCGTGGGGTTCGGGCTCTCCGTCGCCTCGATGCCCTTCTCCTCGGCGTCGCGCTTGCTCGCGGCCAAGGCTGCCGCGAGAACCTCCTCCTCCTGGCGCGCGAGCTCCTGCTCGGTGAGGGCCAGCTTCTGCGACTCCGCGACGGCCTGCGCCATGAGCTCCATCTCCTCCGCTGTCTTCGGCGAGTCGACCTGCTCGGGAGACACCAGAGGCGCTGAAGGGGAAGATGCCAGAAAAGAGGGCGGGTGGGCCTCTGGCGACGGGCTCGCTGCAGGCGGGACCGCCGCTGGCGTTGGCGTCGAGGCCGCCATTGCTGGCGACGGCGTCGGGGCCGCCGCCGCCGCTGGCGATGGCGTCTGGGGCGCCGCCGCCACTGGCGACGCTTCAACCAGCTGCGCTGCGGGCGATGCGGGCACGGGCCCCGCTGGCAAGCTAGCCGCTGGCTCTGCAGGCGATCGCGGCGCGCGGCTGCGCGCGGGCGATGCAGCAGGGTCGACAGGGGTCTCCAGGGCGCTGAGGCGGCTCGTTGCATGCTGGATCCATGCCCGCTGGTTCTTGACGAGCAGCTCCAGTGCAGCTGCTTTCTTCCTCGCCTCCTCGCCCAGCCTCAGAGCCTCCTCGAGCGACATGCCTTCTGCTGCCCTGGCCTGCGTGTCGGGAACTGTCATCGTGGTCGCTGCCGACCCTGAGGCTTGCGACGCTGCGTCGCTGAGGCTCGGCACATCTGCCACCGCCATCTCCATCATCGTGCACGTGCCATGCTCGACATCGCTGCCACCTCCAGTCAACATTCTGCCGATCCTTGTGGTGTGCGAGGCGCCGCGCGGTGGGAACTCCCACGCGATGTCAGACTCTGGGGAGGTCGCAGGGCGCTTGCGGGCACTCTTGCCCATGTGAACGCCCGAGAAGGCACTCGAGCAGCCAAAACGGCTATTGCGATGGCAACGGAGGGGGTGAGGACCAGGAGCAGGAGCAGGATCAGGAGTAGGAGTAGTAGAAGGACCATGGTTATACTAATTGTGAATCGGATGACCAGGACCAATCTCGTCGGCACCCTGAGTGGAGAGGACTGACAGGCCGCAGGTGGGTGGCGCGAAACGAGCGAGGGTGACTATCCGAGAGCCCCGCGTGCCGACTGATCTGATAATGGGCGAAATAAGTTTTGGATGGGGGGAGGGGGGGGGGGTCGGAGAGGAGGCATTAGCTTTACGGGCCTTGGCGGTTGGTAGTTTACTAAACTTCCCCTCATCATTATTCTTATTCTCAGACCCCTTGCTCATCCTATATCGCCATCCTCTCCTCCCGCCCCTCGCGGTATCCTCGACTGGCCACCGCCCATCCTCCACCAATCCGCCATCATTTACCGTGCTCATTCTCCTCGTTATCATCAGCGCTGAGGCGCATTCGAGCTGTCACACTGCACGCGACCGCAAGTTATCGAGCCGAGTGGAGCGTGCACGCACGACGCTAGCTGCGCGTCTTCACGCGAGCCAGCCAAACTGCTGCCAATGCTCGTCACCGCTTTCAGATGTAGCATCAGAATGATGTGGGCTTAACGCGTGAAGTCCTGGAAGCTTCAAGGGACACCAGGGGTCGGGTCATCCAATCTGCCAGCGGTGATCCGAAGTTCTGGCGGCGACGGGAGCACAGCAGGAAAATCAAAAGCAAAAGCCCCCCATGCCCATCGGGATGGGAGGGCACTCTGGCGCCTGGGGCCTCGGCGCTGGCGCGGCCGACGCCTGAGTTCCAGGCGTGCTCATCGGCTCGGCGGGCGGCGACTGCTTCGGCGCGGTGCCCGATGCCGCCGCCGCCTGCGACGACGACGCGGCGCCTGGCTGCTGCGAGGGGGACTTCTCCTTGGTCGCCGAGGCCGCGGACGCCGTCGCCTTCGGCCTCGGCTTGACCAGCACCCCTGCCAGCACCTGAGCACTCTCGTCCGCGCTAGCGGCGGCCTCCTCTGGCTCCTCCTCGGGCGCACTCTGGTCGCCCTCCTCTGCCTCCTCGGCGTGGTCATCCTCAGCTTCACCGTCATCATTATCATCATCTTCGCCATGAGGTGCGGCGATGTCCTCGTCCGCAATCTTCGTCTTCTTCACCTCATGGCTCACGGCGCAGTCGACGCCCTTGCTGGCAGGCCGCTTGCCGACCTCGCCCTTCTTTTTCCTGGGGAAGTGCTTCGCCTTGTCCGCCTCCATCTCCGCCTTGGTGATGCTGCCGTTGGCCCACTTCTCCGCCGCATGCACGATCCAGGTCTTGCCCGCGGCCATCTGCTCGGGCTCCACGATGAGCTGAAGGACCTGCGTCTTCGGCTGGTGCCACACCTGCAACCAGATGGCGTCCTTCTTCTTGACGGTTCTCGCCAGCACGGCGTTCCCGTCCTTGACGCCGCGCCAGAGGATGGCGTCGCTGTCCTTGCCCTTGCTGGCCTGCGGGCTATCCACGAGGTCGCCAGGCACCTGGCCGAGAAAAAAAAAAACTCCATCCTCCTCCGCCTACGTCCCTCATCCCTCATCCAGTGATATTCTCTCTCATCCCCATCCTTATCCTCACCCCCCTTCGCTCTGCATCGTCGTTTCGTCCTCCGCCAGCGCCATCCTCGCAACCCTCTTGGTGCCAAGAATCCTCCTCCTCCTCCTCATCCTCCTCCGCCTTCTCCTCCTCCATCCACCCTTCCACCACCACCTCCCCATCATAATCCTCCCATTGCTTGTCGTGTTCTCGATCCTCGCGTCCTCCTCATCGATGCTAGGGGCAGGGACGGGGTGGGCGACTTAGCCCCCGATTGACCTCCCACGTCACAGCGCCGCCCCACGCCGCCGTCCAGCGGCCGTCGATGAGCTTCGGCGTCGTGTAGTCGTTCGCCGTCGTGCCGTCGACCTTCCTGCGCCACGCAGCCTTGGGGTAAGCTGGAATCGTCGGCGTGCTATGCTACTCGCACCATCGTCCCCCTCATCTTCCCCTTCCCCCCCTCCTCATCCACCCACCCCTCTTACTCCCGCATCGCCCTCCTCCTCGTCCTCGTCCTCATCGAGTTCCCCCCCCCCGTCCCATCACCATCCCACTCCTCATCCCGTTCTCACCGTCATCTTCTCCTCCTCCATCCTCCGCGTAGTTTAGCTTAGGTTACCATCTCCCCCCTTATCACCCTCGCTGCCTGCAGCTCATTGTCCCAGCCGAACTCCCAGATGCCGACGGTCGTCGTCGCCTCGCCAGCGCGCGCAGCTGCGACGCGAGGGGCAGCTGCTGGCCTGCGCATGCGCGTGCCAGTCTCCTGGGGGGGGGGGGTGACCGATTCCTCCGCCATCTCTCCGTTCCATGTCGTCGCTCACGAATCGCACCCCTTTACTCCAGATTTCGGAATAAAGTGAGGGGGGGTCTCATTTCGGGGGGGGTCTCGTCCAGGCTATCTTGGAGGGCCCAGGGGGTCGGGGGATGATGTTTTGGAGGGTTCTCCCACGGGGGATGTCTGAAATGACTTGTCTTGGAGGGTCCAGGCCCCCTCCCTTTTATTACGAAATCTGGAGTGTCCATTATCCTCGTTATCCTTTTTCTTCCTCCTTCTCTCCTCCTCCATCTCATCATCATCCACTCCCATCCTTCTACCTCCCTATACCTCTCTCTCTCTCTCTCTCCACTTCCTGTTCTCCATCCTTTCCGACGACCCCCCCATTCCTTCTATCCACCCCTTCCTCCATCCATCCGCCTCACCCTTCCCAACTGTTTCTAAACGTCCCGTCCTCGGCCGAGTCGACCCTGGATGCTGTGCCAGCGCCGTCGATGAACTCCTGCGCCCACTTCGGCACGTCAGTCCTGTCGGCTGATCGGCCCCCCTCTTTCTCCTTTTCCTCATCTTTCTCCTCATCTTCCTCCGCCACCCCCCTTGCCCGCCTCATCCTCATCCCCTCATCTTCTTCCACCTCCTCATCTTCACCGTGCGTCCGCCAGCATCGCCCTCATCCCCCTCATCATCTTTCACCATCCGCCTCCGCTCATTCCTCCCGATCCTACTCCGACTGCTACTCCTATCCCTCCGTGGCCTGTCCGCCCCGTTCTCGTCCTCCTGCTCTACGCTCCTCCGCCATCCTCACTTTCTCCACCTGCATTGGCCACCTCCTCAGTCTTCCGCATTATTTCCTCCTCCTCCTCCTCCCCCCCCTCCTCCTCCTCCTCCTCCTCCTCCTCCTCCTGTGACTTACCCCTCACTCCAGAACGTGTCAAATCGGTCCTTCCGACCGCTCTCCCGACGTGGCGAACCATGACGCGGATGGACCTGGCCATGTCGCCCGCCCACGGCTTGGCCTCGTTCGCCAAGCGCCATGTGTCGCGGTTGCGGAACGCGAGCTGCAGCAGCACAGCCTGGCCGAGCAAGGCAAACGATGCGCGCGCACCGGCGCGAGCCTGATCACGCTGCACACCTGACCCGCATCGCAGCTGCGTCACCGATGTCACCGATATCGGTGACGTCGGTGACGCCGCGGTGAGTCGAGTCAGGTGCGCAGCGGCATCAGCTTCGCGCGCATGCGTGCGCTCGTCGTTTGCCGTGCGTAGCCTCGCCGCGCTTCTGGCTGATCGAGCCCAGCTTGCGGGTCGCCATGATCAGGTCCTTGTGCCGCTTCAGCTCGAGCTCGTCGCGCGAGTCGTCCATCACCGTCGTGCACTTGATCCTTAATCGTCATCGCCCCCCATACCCTCTCGCCATCATCCAGCTCCCCTCCCTTCACCCGCGACCCGCCTCAGCCTCCTCCACCCTGCTCTCTCTCTCTCTCTGTTTCTTTATCTGTGTGTATATATATGTATATCTTTCTCCCTCTCTTCTTCCTTCCCTCCCTCCCTCCCTCGTTCCCTCGCCTCTCTCCTCTCCTCGTTCCGTCCATCCGCCTTCCCCTCTCTCTTTCCCTCCCTCCTTCCGCCCCCCCCTCCGTGCCCTACCTCCTTCCCCTTCGACCCTGCCCCCCCCCTCTCCTCCCCCCCTCGCCCTCCCCCCCTCCTTCCCCGATCGGTCGACCAGCAGCCGACCGATAGATCAGGGCCCCGAACGATCGACTGCGCGCCGCGCGCCGAGCGCGGCGCGCAATCGGGCTCGTGACGTGCTGCTCCCACAGCGCGAGCAGCGGGTCGTCGTCGCACGCGGCGTCGCCATCGTCGGTCCCTGCGTCCGCCGCCCGCGCGACTGGCGTGGACACGATTCCCTTCCTGGGAGCCATGCCTCGAGCCTCGAAGCTCCCGCGGGGGGGGGCAGGGAGGACGGGGGCTGAATCATCAGCCCAGGACCCCCCCCGCGCACGGTTGGCAACCGGAGATGTCGGAGGGCGGAGGAGGGCGGGGTCGGAGGAGGACAAGGAGGAGAAGGGGGAGAAGAACGAGGGAGAGGGAGAAGGAGGAGGAGGAGGAGGAGGACGGAAACGGACGATGAAGGGAGGAGGATGAGGAGGAGGAGGAGGAGGAGGAGGATCAATACAATATTACAACAACTCGAATAGGCGCGCAAACGCGTTTAGGTTGCTGCGCTCGCGCGGCATCTGGCAACCAACCCCTCCCGCCACGCGGCAGAGCGCCTTATATACACACGTATGTTGATATGGTATTGTATTCACCCAAGAGCTCAACACCGCTAGCTTTGTTTACTCACGTGCCAAAATAATACATTTGACTGTGATTATCATGTTGTTGATTTTCGCGCGCAGTCGTCGTGACAACATGTTGTCACGACAGTGGTTCGCGACAAAATCTTGTCACAGAGACGTCTCGTGACAATATGTTGTCACGAGAAACATCGTGACAGGAAAGCTGTCACACAGGACCTCAGGGGACTGGAGACGCCTGGCGAGTTTCCTCGCATTCCAGGAAGGCGATAGAGCGCGTCTTTTTCTTCCTGGGTCATAGGCACCAGTCCTCTCGGAGGCTGAAGCTCCTCGGCCACAGGTCTCCTATGGGCAGTGGTTCCGAGACGTCGGTTGATCTCGTCGATCTCTGCTTGAGTCATCGGAACCAACGGTGGATGACCCTCCTTGGCAGGAGTGCGGCCTCTATTCGGGCTCAAGCTCACATTGAGCCCCACAGGGCGCCCAGGCCTATGCTCCTGAAATGGCTCTGAGCACGGCCCACAAACTGCGTTGGGTCTGTATAGTTTGCGTGCTGCAATGACATCTCGCAGCTGCGTCCGTACTTCCTCTATTTCAGGACGACGAATATTCGTCGCGAGCTGGTAGCCACCTCGCATGGACTTGCCTTGGGCATCTCTGTAGGCTGGGTTGCCTTAGCAGAATGTTCACCCTTCTGACGCCTAGGGTCATTGTAGGCGAGCAATTGACCCCCCCCGCCGAGCGGCGTGCTCCTTTGGGCCTGCTTGCCTCCATTCGCGGGGGAGCCGTGCTTGCGGATGAGGTTCTCCCCTGAAGCGTGGATGAGAGCGAGACCTCCTGGCGTGCTCATCAGATGAAGCCGCCGACGCAGCCTGAGCAGGAATCGGCAGAGGTTCCGGCTGGGCCGCAGGCGGTGCATCTTGAGCGGGCAGGTCTCCCTGCTGACTGAAGCCCGGCACAATTGGCTCTTGTGCCGGTGGTGGTGCATCAGGCATGTCGAGACTGAAATCCACCTCCTCTTCACCATTGACCTCCATCATGAGGATTGTGGTCTCGTCCTCGCACATCCCACATCCATCATCCTCTTCATCCTCTAACATAGGACTGCCGATGACAACGGTCATCGGTCCAGCCGGGGCGGGCAGGTTTCCCTGCGGTGCCAGCGTCTGAGCATCGCTTGGCTGTCCCGGCGTAGGCGGTACGGTAGTCGGCTCAGGCTCGTTACCGAGCGCAGGCTGCCCGACAATATTCCGCATGGCCATATGGTTACGCTGTAATCCCGCCGCCTGGAGACCCCATCCTGGCGGAGGAAGAGCCTGACCACGCATGGAGATGGCCCTATCAGAGCTTGGCGCCACCTCCCTCTGGAATACCACACATGCCGCTGCACGTCCTCAGGGTGCACGCTATCAATAAGACTGAGGGCCGCCAGCGCTAACTCCGAGTCGTCACAGGCATCAGTGTCTTGTAGCATCATGTGGCCAGCTTCGGCACTCTCTTGACTCTCGGGATATGCTACGACCAATACAGCGTGCATCTTCATGGAGTCTGCAGTGGCGTGTGCGGTCCGTACTCGCCTGGGGCAAGCGAGCCAGGTGGTATAAATGGGTCCCCTGGCACGCCCGTCACGGACGCTTGAGACTCTAGCTCCATCAGATCAGCATAGTTTGGAGGATATACAGAAGTAGGCCTGTTTCCAGGCATAAGGTCGGGTTGAGGTTGAAGGTTGCGATCAACCTCCGAAGGCGAGGCTTGAACAATATCATCTTCGTCACTGCTCTCGTAGGCCATGATGTTGCCTGGGTTACCGAACATCCAGTCAAAGAAGGAAACAGGCTGGTTTCCCAGCGTTCCATGTTCCACAGGCGTAAGCTCGTTATTACCGACAACGAACCTGCGGAGGTACTCGAGGTAGTACGCGTACAGTCCGTGGCCGTGCGCCTCGAGCTCATCCAAGTTGTCCATGCAGCTGACCCAAGTGTAAAATATCTGTTCCATGGCCTCAAAATCTTGGAGGCTCAGATATTCAATAACTGGTTCACTTGAGCCGAAATGGACTTCGGTCGATCTGCCCTTTCCATTTCCCTTCGCTGGACAATCTTTTACAAGATGATCGGTACTGTCACATTCATGGCACTTTAGGATCTGGCCGTCTCTACCTCGCGGGTTTCCCCGCCTACCTTTGCCTTTGCCTGCGGTATCTCTACGGCCTTTACCGCGGCCTTTTCCCCCGAAGAATATCTCATCATACTGGTCATCTGAGAGCCTCTGGAGGAAGGCCGCGATGCCTCGTCCATTCAACCTACGGCGACCCCGTTTGCCTTTACCTTTTCCTTTGCAAATCCTCCGTATCCTCCTCCTAACACGACGCGCCGGTTTTCGTGTGAACCTCCTCCACCTCCGCTTTGCCTGTTGTAATAACCAGAACAGGTGTTCGGCACGCTGATTGTCACCTTCCATATGCATGATATCTGACCAGTCTAAAGGTTCAACACCGTCTGATGATATGGTATCGGTGTCGGTGCCGGAGTCGAAATCGTCGTCTCCCAGGTAGGTGGATACACCGTCGTTTAGGGGGTTTGCTTCACCCCATAAAGAACGGTGTGGTTGAGGTTCTCCAGGAGGGGGGCTGATTGCCCAGCTCGGTTGTGACCGATCCCCTGTTAGTAGGGCAGTAGACTCACCAGGACCGTCGGCCCATATGCTTGAGGGCCCATTGCCAGGCTGAGCTTCGGTGGTTAAGGTAGTGTAAAAGTTTCCACTACCAGTTCCTCTTCCTCTTCCAAACACTGACCCTATGTTACCTGGGGACCGTTCTGACAAATGGCCTACCGAGCGCATCCTCTCGAGCAACTCCTCATACTGTTGTTGTGTTCGGGGCATTTGGTGGTTGAGTGGCTGCAAAAGTTGCATAGCCCTCTGGCTGCCGACGCCTAGGGCGCGGAATCGGATAGTAGTAAGCAGTTGGAAGTTGGGAAGGTCAAATCCCACAGACTGTGCCTCGAGACGGGCCATTTCGAACCGAGTGAGAGTTACATCGATTCGGTCTCCGCGAGGCACATGCAAGTCGATGAGTTGTGTGCCTGAAGCGAGCTGGCGCTCATCTTCCAAACGTTCGAACTTCATGCTTAAGAGGAACATAATGTACGTTACTGGGTCGGAGTGGACACCATCGATGTCCGCACCATAATTTATAATGTCAGGTGGTACCCTCATGGCGAGTGTCCTCGCTAAGCCACCCAGGCCGCGTTGTATGGCGGCTGCTTGGGCCTGCGGCGTCATGCGTCCGCTTGTGACGTTGAGCCACGCGTTGACCTCATAAACGTACTCGCGGAAAGGTACGTTGCCTTGAGGGTCCCAGTATGGGCCATGTGTTTGCCCATCTGTGCTATTATCTCCTCGGCGCATGTATCCGATTGCCGCCCCCAGCGCAAACCATATGATGGCGAAGATAACCAGCCCAAGGCTGTGAAGATGTGGGTGGTTATCCGGCGCGTTGCCGCGCTGGGGTAGCGCCTTGTCAAGTCTTCGAGGCGCTTTATCTTGCGGGTCTCCCCGCCTCTGCTTCAAGTACTGCGCTTTTGGCTCGTTGCCGAGCGGTTGGTAGTAGCGCAGTGATGAAGCGTATATGGTACCAATGTTGTTGTCTAGACGTCGTACCTCTCGTGTTGCTTCTTGCTCTTGAATTGATCCTCGTAAATGTAGTTGGAGTGGTGGCGCAGGGTGGTAGTTGGTCACGAAGATCGTGTCGGATAGCGTGAGGATAAGAAGAGCAAGAGCTGACCACACGAGAGTGCGGCCAGCTCCGCTACCAAGTCTGAAGTGACTATGGTAAGCCAAATAGCATCCGATTCCATGGGAAGCGGATGGCAAATAGCGTCCGGTATCGTACTGAGGTGGTTCAGTAAGAGAAATGGACGGATAAGATAGGATAAGATCGATGTAATGATCATTCCAGCACATAGCGAACACGAGCAGTGTCCGGGCAAATAGGGCGCGCGTGCCTTGAGCCAAAGGCAACGGCGCGCGAGCTATACTCCCGATCCTATATAACATCTCCCAAAGAGCTACCCTTAAAGTCAAAAACGGATGTTTCGCATAATCACGAAGATGGCCCAAGATGGCCTGCAAATCCGCCCAAGATGGTCCAAGACGGCCTCCAAGACAGCCAAAGAGAGTCCAAGACGGCCCAAGAGGCCCCCCAGAGGCCTCCAAGACGGCCCAAGAGGCCTCCAAGAGGTCATCCGGGAGGGCCCGAAGAGGCCAACATCATTGATTTTCTTTAGGTTTTTGAAGGATTTTGGCATTTGCTTCTTCTCAGCATTCCGACGACTCAAGACGGCACAAGAGGCCCCCAAGATCGCCCAAGAGGCCCCCAAGAGGGCCGCATGACGGCCCAAGTAGCCTCCAAGACGGCCCCAAGAGGGCCCCAAGACGGCCCAAGTGGCCTCCAAGACGCCCAAGGTGGCCTCCAAGACGGCCCCGAAGCGCCACAAGAGGGCCCCCAGTCGGCCCAGAAAGGCCCCCAAGACGGCTCCCGACGGCGTCAGACGTGCCAGGAACCCACCAAGATGGCCGAAGTTGGCTCGAAGCTGGCCCAAGAGGCCCCCAAGCGGGCCTCCAAGAAGGCCAGAAGAGGCCAAAAACATTGTTTCCCTTAGGTTTTTGAAGATTTTGACACTGCCTTCTTGTCGGTCGGCCCTCCGACGGCCCGAGACGGCCCAAGAGCCCCCAAAGATCGCCGAAAGAGGCCTCCAAGATGGCCCCAGAACGGCCCAAGAGGGCCCCAAGACGGCCCAAAGAGGCCCCCAAGACGGCACAGGAGGCCGTTAAGACGCCCAAGATGGCCTCCAAGACGGCCCTGGAGCATTCCAAGAGGGCCCCAAGTCGGCCCATAGAGGCCCCCCAAACGGCTTCCGACGGCGTCAGACGGACCAGGAACCCACCAAGACGGCCGAACATGGCCCTAAGATGGCCCAAGACGGCCCAAGAGGCCTCCAAGAGGGCCTCCAGGAAGGCCCGAAAAGACGAAAATCATTGATTCACCATGGGTTTTTGAAGGATTGTGGCATTTGTTTTTTGTCTGCCTTCCGACGGCCCGAGACGGCCCAAGCGCCCCCAAGACACGGCCCCAAGAGGCCCCCAAGACGGCCCCAAAGGTCTCCAAGACGCTCAAGATGGCCTCCAAGACGGTCTAAGAGCTCTCCAAGACGTCCTCCAAGAAGGCCCGAGAGGGTCAAACTGGCCTCCAGACGGCCTAGATGACCTTCCAAGATGCCCACGTGTTCCCCGAAGGCTTTCCAAACCGATTCGGGGAACACATGGTCCGATAGCTTGGCAGGTCTGGCCTCAACGTTCGGCCACATAGGCGCTTCCAAAAAGGCAGGGGGCGGCGGTGATTCGTCCTCCTCCTCCTTCTCCTCCTCCTCCTCCTCCTCCTTCTCCTCCTCCTCCTCCCCCCTCGGTGCCTGCGTTGGCGACGAAGAGCTCCAGGGGCTGCTCCTCGGTGCCGCCGGCGGGGACCTTGCCCCCGCAGCCGTGGACCGTGATGGTGCGGTTCGCCTCGACGTCGGGGTCCGGGGCAACTTCCACCTTGATTGTAAGTCGGGCCCGTCCCTCTACAGCAGGAGTGCGCAAACATAGTCAAGAAACAGTATGGGGACTACTTTTTGAGTATATATTTGAACCCTTTGGGATTTTTTCTGAGTGTATTCTTTGTTCGTCGAAAATCCCCCTGTATGGGGTCACGCCCGCTTAAGCCTTGATGCCCAGCTTGTGCATGCACTCCGTCATGGCCTCGGTGTCCTCGCTCCACAAGGACCCCTTCAGCGTCACCACCCCGTCGCCGAGGGCGGCCAGGACGATCGCGCGGTTCGTGATGCTCTTCGACCCTGGGATGACGATCTCGGCCTTCTCGGCACCGAGCGAGGGGGGAAGTGGGCAAGAGAAGGCCCTCTCAGAAGGCAGGGTAACTTCTCGGAAGGCCGGGTAACTCCCGAGCCTTCTGAGGAGGCCCGCCCTTCATCACTTCCCCCCGGGGCTCGCAGCCGGCCTTCGCCTTCTTGAAGCCGTCCAGCTGGTGAACGTGTTCTTATTCGGCGTTTCGACATTGGGCGGAAGGTAGGGGGCGAGGGGGGGGTATCTGGCTCCGGACCTCTTCTTCGTGCGACTGTCTGCTGCAACAGTGCGTCCTAGGGGGGAGACTCCGCCTGCTCGAAACAGGCGCCAAAACAGCCCAGATCTACTCTACGTGGGGGGGGGAGGGGGGTGTGCGAGGACCCGCGACGATCGGCAAGACAATGAATCAGAAAACGATCGCTTTGTTATCATGAGTCGTTTTCTGACGGTCCCGTGGCCCGGAAGGGCGCCCCGGAGGCCGAGAGTAGCGAAAAACCTCCCGTCGCGATTGTTTCACAACTCGAGAAGGGCGAGGGCGGGGGGGGGGGTGCGAGGGCCCGCGCCGATCGGCCAGACACTGAATAAGAAAACGCCTTCCTGCTCCTCCGAGAAGGGCACCACCTCGACGAGCCGCGGCAGGGGCATGCCGGCGCGGGAGGGGGGGTCCGGGACCCCCCCGCCCCGCCCGGGGTGTCTTCGGGCGCAGCACGCCCCGGGGCCGGAGCCGAAAAACAGGCTGCGGGTGGAGCAGCAGGCGGAGGCGGACCCGAAGACAGGATCGCGTCGTAGAACGAGCACGCGCAGGGCGGCGTCGGCGCCTCGGGCGGCCAGCAGGAGGCAGAGATCCTCGGACATCGACTCCGACGCCGCCCCGTGGTCGAGCGAGTCCGAGCGCCCGCCCACTGCGTCGAGGCGCAGGAGTCGCAGCAGGATCGGGTCGGGCGAAAGGGGGGGATAGCAAAGGGGGGGTTTGAGAATCAGCTCACGTAGCTGATCTTCCGGGCGCCTCCGGGCGCCGGTAGGCGCCCGTGCATCGAGGAATGGGCCCGGCGGCGGGGCCGAAACCAGCTGCATGCAGCAAATTTCGTACCCCCCTTTCCCAATCCCCCGTTTCGTCTGGCCCGACAGGAGCCGCGGTACGGCCAGCGACGCACCTGCGACGGCACGGTCGCCTCTCGGCGACGGCGACGGCAGGACGGGAGGTATCTTTTCGTTGGCCAGCTTCGGCCTCGGGGTGTGCCCTCGCTGGGCCTCGGGACCGTCAAAGAACGACTCGGGAGGAAAGGCCCGTCCCAGGGAAGGGTCGGGACTTCTACTACTACGACTAATACTAATACTAATACTAATAATAATAATAATAATAATAATAATAATAATAAAAACAATACTAAGAATACTAATACGGATACGAATAATAATAATCATCATCATCACAATGGCCAGGGACCCCGAAATCATAGAAAACATCAGGGCGTCGCATGCCTGGGGATGATGGCCGTCTGCCTGCTGTTCATCCCTCTCGTGGTCTCCGAGGCGTGATGAGGACTGGGGAGTGGGCGCTGCTCTCCCTATCGCCCATCCAGGCGCTTGTATCTTGCCTTCCCGTGCATGGCCGGTGCGCGGGCGCCCTGACGCTGCAGGCGACCATTCGCTCCCACAGCGTGCCAAAGAAGAGGTGGTGGAGGATGCGGGGGAGCGCGCGCAGCTGGTGAGGGCACGCGGCAGCTCAGCCGCTCGCTCCGATGGCCACATTGGTGGCGCGAGAGACCGCAGAGGGGTCGAGCAGGGGAGCTCCCCGTGCTCCGCCTTCGGCTTCTGGTGAACGTGAGATCCAGGGGCGTTCAATCGATGGGCTGCGACGCGGGACACCGAGGCGTCACGGCCCGAATTATCGCCGAGGCCGAGGCGGATGATGAGGAGGAGAATGAACATGGTAATGTTCAGTCGGGCGTGTCCGTCTACAGGAGGAATATTCAAAAATAATCCAAAAATAGTCTGCGAACTATTTTTGAACCATCTATGACTCACGTTGGCTATTTTCACACTGATTGCATTTTTTCAAAATCCGCCTGTAGGAGGACAAGCCCGACCTAACGGTTATGTCAGATCACCAAATGGGGACCGTGGGTTGAAAAAGGGGGGCGGGGATCAGCGGGGTGTCGTGCCTGCTGGCCCTCTCTCGGCCTTGCCCAACCCCTTGGCCACGATCCCCCGGCGGAGCCGACTGACACGTTCTTCCACAAGTCGCCATCGCTGTAAGGGGGCATCTGGGCATCGCTCGGACGTCCATTCCCTGTGTTTTTTGTTCGGTTTCGTGCATGGTTTTTTCGCCAAATGATCAAGGATGCTCCTCGATGGTCCTCGCCGAAAGAAAAATGCACACGTCCGAGCGATGCCAAGGCATGGGGCCACGAGGTGTGCAGAAGAAGACAACACGCCATGAGCAGAAACTTTTGGCGCTTCGCGGGGATTTCTCGGATCTGCGTCGGACCTCCCTCCCTGGCGCGTGGAGCGCGCCAGTGGCGGCGCCGGAGGCGCCGCTGGGGGAGCCCAGCGCGGATCCAAGAAATCCGCGCGGAGCGCCAAAAGTTCATGTTTATGGCGTTGTTCCATCTTCGAGTGTGGGCCATGTGATCAGAGTAGGAGGAGGAGGGGACGGAGGGCATGAGAAGACTGATGGGAAGCTCAAGGAGAAGCGACAGCATCAGCAGGGAGAACGATGCGAGGACGCCGGGCAGCATGAAGCAACATACGCTCACGGTCGGGAGCGTTTGCTTATCTCGTGTCGCGGCGGAAGCCCCAACAACACATTATGCCCCGCGAGCTTATGGCGCGCCACTCCGTTTCGCGGGGCAGAAGGCTGGGACAGGTTCGGGACGTTGCCGCTAGGAAAGGGGAAACGGGTAAGCGTGTCGCGCCGAAACGTGGTGGGCCAGAACGGTCGGTGCGACCCGCCAAGCCAAATATCCGGATCATCACTAGAGAAGGGAAGCGACCCTCCTCCCATGGGTCTCAGGCCTGATCAGACAGCAACGGGAAGCGCTGAGTTTATCCAGTGGGCTCGCAGGGGGGTAAAAGAAGAAAATGATAATGGCGAGGGCAAGGCGGCGGATGACGAGGATGACAGCGTGGATGACAGGGGAGGGCGGCGAGGGGAGCAGGAGGACGACGAGCAGGACGACAAGCACGAGGACGAACACGAGGAGGAACGCAGCGGAAGAGAAGAAAGACGAGGACGACGACGAGAGAGACCGGTAAGGGGCCCGAAGAACAAGACGTCGAAGACTCTTTGTTGAGGCTATCCGGGGAGGGCTGCTGGGGCCGTCTGGGGCTGTCGCCCCCCACATCGTCCCAGACAGGCGGCGTCCCGATGCTGTTCCATACGGGGTCCCCGGGAGTCCCGCCCCCTCGCCCCGGGACGGATTTTTCCCTCCCGAGTCCTTCCTGGACGGCCCCGAGGCCCGGCGAGGGCCCCCCGAGGCCGACACGTGGGCCAAAAACCTCCCGCCCCGCTTTCTTTTACGACGCGCTCATGCCTGGGATCGTCGCCTCCGAATCCAGGAGGCCTGGATCTGTAGATGGCCCAGCCGCGCCCGGCGCGGTCGGACGAGGCTTAGGTCGGGCACGTCCCCCTACAGGCGGATTTTGGACGAAGAACCACAACTATTCAAAACATAATCGAAAATAGTAAAAACATCTTCCCCAGACTATTTTTTCTACTATTTTTGAACATTCCTCCTGTAGAGGGACGTGCCCGACCCAAGACGGGGCGCCAAGGGACCGTGCGCGCCGGCCGCGCAGGGGATCGCAGCGGGCCCTCTCCGCGCTGGCCGCGCGGGGGCGCGCCGCGCTCGGCGGGGCGCCGCGGCGCTCGGGGGCGGGGGATCCGTGGAGTCGGCCACCCAGGCATGATGAACTACAGTACTTAGGTGGGCCACCTCTTCCTCCTCCTCGTCCTCCTCCTCCTTCTCCTCCCCCTCCTCCTCCTCCTCCTCCTCCTCCTCCTCCTCCTCCTCCTCCTCCTCCTCTCCTCCTCCTCACTCTCCTTCTCCTCCTCCTCCACCTATTCCTCCTCCCCCTTTTCCTCCTCCTCCTCCTTCTCCTCCCCTCCTCCTCCTCCCTTCTCCTCCTCCTCCTCCCTCCTCCTCTCTCCTCCTCCTCCTCCTCCTCCTCCTCCCCCTCCCCCTCCTCCTCCTCCTCCTCCTCCTCCTCTCCTCCTCCTCCACCACTCCACCTCCTCCCTCCTCCTCCTCCTCCTCCTCCTCCCTCTCCTCCTCCTCCTCCTCCTCCTCCTCCTCCCTCTCCTCCTCCTCCTCCTCCTCTTCTTCTTCTTCTTCTTCTCCTCCTCCTCCTCCTCCTCCTCCTCCTCCTCCTCCTCCTCCTCCTCCTCCTCCTCCTCCTCAGGTATGAACGAGAGTAGATGGGGATGGACGTAACCCACTTTAGCAAACCGTGGTTTCGCGAAAACGACCTCGGGCCCAAACCTGGCGTGAGCAAGCCCGGAAAATGACGACCGCGGCGCCCTCTCGAGAACCGCAAACGATGCAAAGGCGACGTCGGCGATGCATCGGCGACGTCGGCGTGGCGAAATCGGGCCAGGCATCGAGCCGCATCGCCGATGCATCGCCGATGCGGCGAGATCCTCCGACACCTTCTGCTCCGACCCTATCCAAGGGCATACAATGATCGAGTCGATCTAAGATCAGGACGCGATTTGAGTTGGCCAATTTCGGCCTCGGGGGCCCTCGCCGGGCCTCGGGACCGTCAAAAAACGACGCACGACGAGAAATCGGTCCCAGGGAACGGTTCGGGACTTCCAGGGACCCGTTCCTGAAAAAATCAAGACGTCGCACGTCTGGAAACAGAACCTCATTTAGTAAACGTGGTTGAGTGAAAACGACCTGAGGCCCAAACCTGGAGGGCGCAAGCCTGGAAAATGACGGCCGCGGCGCCCTCTCGAGAACCGAAAACGGACAGTTCACTAATCGACGTGCTAGAATGGGGGTTCTGTCCACGGGGTCGGAGGATTGCTCGGGGTCGCCGAGGCATCGGCGATGCGTCGGCGATGCATCGACGATGCAAATGCGACGTCGGCGATGCATCGGCGAGGTCGGCGTGGCGAAATCGGGCTCTGCATCGAGCCGCATCGCCGATGCATCGGCGATGCGGCGAGATCGCCCCCCCCTGCTCCGACCCCATCTACGAGGCCTAAACTGATCGCGTCGTTAAAAACATCAGGACGGGAATTTGGTTGCCTAATTTCGGCCTCGGGGTGGCCCTCGCTGGGCCTCGGGACCCTCAAAAAACGACTCGGGAGGCAAAACCAGCCCCGGCTGCCAGTGACCGCGCGCTGGAAAAGTCAGGGCGTCGCATGTCTGAGCAGACCCTGAGATCCTGGCGATGCAGTTTTTGCACCCCGGGCGTTTCCGCCCACCTTCGGGCCCCGGAGCCCTCACAGATCGATGCGGCTCGAAAGCCGACCAGCCATAACTGGGAGAGCTGTGGTCCTTACCCCCCTGGGGGAACCCATCGCATCGACGATCTCTCGAGAGGGGTGTCGAAATCGATGGGTCCCCCAGGGGGGTAAGGACCACAGCTCCCCCAGTTGTGGCTGGCCTGGAAAGTTGACGCAGAGACTCGGGGCCCACAGCTCTAATCGTGGCTTTTCACGGTGTTCCAGCTTGTTCGGGAACGCGCAAGAGTGACGCCCCGGGCAGGAGTGACCGTTGGTGCGCGGCGTTTGGGGGGCGGGGGGGGGGAGCAAACACAGGGGCGCAAGACGCTACAGTTGGGGCGTTGCCCCAAGGAACCCTGAAGAAGGAACGAGGTCCCTTTTTCCCATACAGTCGGGGCGTTGACCTAAGGAACCCTAAATAAGGAACGAGGCCCCTCTTTTCCATAAGTTAACCTTCGGTTTCCTGTCGAAAACAGAAGGAAAGCCTGAGGCAAGCTGTGAAACACTTAAGGAACGCGGAGCCCCTCCCCAACCAGGGAGGGCTCCGCGTTCTTCTCAGGAACACCCAACAAGGAGCACTGCAAAACAACTAAGGAACTCGGAGCCCCTCCCAAACGAAAAAGGCTCCTTCTTCAGCGCCCCGACTGTAGCACCGCATCGCGCTCGGCGGTCGGGGGTCCTCACTGGGCCCGCGCCACAGGCCACTCTTGCGCAGGGTTGCTCTTACGTGCAACCGATTTTTGCTCGCAGCGCCGGGTCCCCGGGGGCGGTCCCCGGGCCTTCGGGGGAGGAGGCACGCTGGCCACGACCAAGATGTCAAAGGGAGCTTGGCGGGCCCGGTCTCGGTCACGGTGCCCACGGGCCGTCGCCGATTCGCGAGGATGATATATAGGCTTAGGTCGGGCACGTCCTCCTACAAGCGGATTCTGGACGGCAAATGGAACATAGTCCAAACATGCTCATATATATATATATATATATATATATATACATATACATATATATATATATATATATATGTACATATCTATGTATATCCAAACAGATTCAAGAAATCGTCCCGGGACTATTCTGTGGCTATGTTCGAATATTCCTCCTGCAGAGGGACAAGCCCGATTTAGATGTAGGGGTTGACGCTGCGAGGTGGACGTTGGCCAAGATGGGCATGACGTTTCCGCGCTCAGTCTTGGTCTTGCTCCCTGTTCTCGCCATCGCTCGGACGTCCATTTCCCGTGCATTTTTCGGTTTCGTGCGTGTTTTTTTTGCTCGATGGTCCAGGATCGTCCTCAATGGTTCTCGCCGAGAAAAAATGCACACGTCGGAGCGATGCCAGGTGATTTCTTCCCCGAAGTCCGTGCGCCCAGGCCTCAGACGATCTGGCCCGGCCTGGATCGGCAGCGCGACGTTCGCGTTTTTGTTCGGGCGCTCCCCTCGACTCCTCGACCTTCTCCTGCCTCGGAGCACTTCTTCCAGCAGCGGCGCATCGCAACGAGAGCGTCCTGCGGGTGCCTGGATCCTCCAGAACGGCCGCCGGAATCGGGGGTCTGCTGACCCGGGTCAAGCCAGGCCCGGATCAGTCATGCTCTGCAGGATCCTGCAAGATCCTGCCGGAGCCCAGAGGATCCTGCAGGATCCCTCACCCAGGCCCTGGTCATTGCAACCCTGGCTCTGCAAGATCCTGTGCAAGGTCTGGCGCTCTGACTGGCCCCCGTTTGCATTGACCCCCGTCCATTGATTCAGAGGACCGAACTGGGTACGTAAAACAAGGTACAATGCCCAACAACAACTGTTGTCCCAAACCCACAGCGGCCGCTGTTGGGCAGGCCGCCTGTTGTCTGCAATGCACAACGTCCGCGGCGGCGCGGACAGCGAGTCCTGTTCAAGCTTTCGGTCTTTGTACCCATTCTTTCCGTACCCATCTCGATTGTCCCGACTTGAGCCCCGATGGATGGCCGAGTCCGGCGCTCCAGCGGCACGATCTGCTCCATCGGCGCAATTTCCCCGACTTTTCGGCCCTCGCGGGCCGTTCTCGGGCCTGGGGCCATCCCCGATTTTTCGGCCCTCGGGGGCCGATCTCGGGCCTGGGGCCATCAAGTCTGGACACGGGACGACAGGCTGCCGCGCAGGAGCGAAGGATTGCAAAAAAAGAATTGCAAAAAAACCCGAAGGATTGCAAAAAAACCCTTCGAAGGATTGCAAAAAAAAACCCTCGTTCAAGGGTTTTTTTGCAATCCTTCGTTCAAGGGTTTTTTTGCAATCCTTCGTTCAGGCTGCCGCGCAGGAGTGGGTCGGGACCTTTGGGGCCGCGTCTTGGCAGAACTGCATCGTCGGGTGTCGAGGGGTGCAGTCCGGCCGACGATCGCGTGGACCTGTCTGGTGGTCCTGGAGCGCAGTGGCGCTGGGTCCCAGCGCTGCAGCGGATGAGCCAGGGGCGGGGGAGGAGGGTGGGAGAGCAGAGGATGGAGGAACATGATCCTTGCGTCTGATCCCGGACATCCAACGTATCGAACGTAGGAACTTTTCACATGTCTCGTCCTCTGGGAGCCCTCGCCGGGCCCCAGGACCGTTAGAAAACAACTCGCGACGGAACACTGGCCCTGGGAAAAGAAAGGGTCGAGATTTCCGAGAGCCCCGCATCGAACACAATCAAGGCAGCGGATCCCTGGGGGGATGAAGGAGCAACGGGATGAGCGAAGAGGAGGGAGTGGCAAGCAGGCGTGTGCGGGGTGGAGAGCAGGAAGCAGGGCGAGGGGTAGCGGGAAGCAGGGTGGGGAGGGGTGGGGAAGGGAGGGAAGGGAACTCCATGGGCGGCCATCGTGACCTCTGGGAGAGGAGCAGACGCCAGTCTTCAGGGGCGGGGCAGGACCCACCAAGCAGCCCCTCCAGATGCCCAGACGAACGCCAAGCGGCAGCTGATTTTCGACTGCCTGGCTCCGGACTTTCTGCTTGCAGTAGTGCGTCCTTTGGGGTATACTCTACCTGCTCGAAACAGGCGCCCCAAATGGCCAAGACCTGCTCCATGGGGGGGGGGAGGGGGGGGGAGTGCGAAGGCCCACGCCGATCGGCTACATAACGAAAAAGAAAATGCTCGCTTTGGCCGCTGGAGGGCTCTGTTGGGCTGCTCCTGAATCCCCTGGCCCTCCGGGCCATCAACGGACCGCGCCCCCAGATCTCCGGGCGCGCCGCGGCAGTACCCCCCTCAGCTGCTGGAGCTCGATCTTCTGCGCCGCCGCCTTGGCGGGGAGCGGCCTTGCCTTCCCTTCCCCGTCTGCTACTCCCTCCCCTGTCAAGAGGAGGGCACCATCTGCTTGGTATCCGTCGCCGTGGCGACGGCTCTGCGTGTGGTATCGCTTTCAAAGCGGGCCGGGTCATTTTCAAAGCGAACATCTCGCCTACATGACAGGCCCACGGGGCGTTCATCTCTCTAGCCCTCCTCCTTCCCCCCCCTCGCCACCCATACACCGAACCTCTGGGGGGGGTTCTTTGATCATCCTTTTGCTGCTTGAAGGAGAAGGATGATGATGATGAGAAAGAAGAGGAGGAGGACGAGGAAGAGGAACATTGGTGCTGCTGGGAGCAGGCTCCCGTGCGGACGCCGAGGCGCGCGCTGACGGGGCCAACAATCAACTTGGGTGATTTAGGGCAACATATTGAAGCCCGAATCGGCAACGTCGAAGTTGGAGACGTGGTCGTCTGAACTCTGGATATGGTTGGGCCAGCTGCCCTGGCAAATCATGGAGCTCACGCTGAGGAAAGTAACCTCATGGAACACGGAGACCGATACGCCTTCGTTCTCGTGGTAGTCAACGGGCAGGTTGCGCTCATGTTGGGGACACTGACGCTCACGTGGGGCAAGCCACGGTGCCACGAACGTCGCCCAGCTGTGACTTCACGCCGATGGGGCGGACGCAACTCATAGGGTCACCAAGGCGATCCAATGCAGCACCCCATCGTGCCAAGGTGGCGCTGGTAATCGCACTGGTTCTTGTGGCCGCTCTTGACCCCAAGCCGATCATTCAGCCGAGGCACAGACGACGGACAATCATCCGCTACGAATTCTCTCCCTCGCGCGGGCGGCCCCCGCCAGGGCCCAGGGAGGACGCGCCATGCGTGGCAAGTGCGAGCGCCCAAAGCAAGGGGTGCCGCCGCGAGGTCCCCAGGCGCAGCCCATGACGCAATGGGAGCGACCAGGATGCACGTGCGCACGGGTGAGGGGGTGTGCCAGCCACTCCGAACGCACTCGGCGAAGTCCTCGTAGTCGGGCCTGGCGCAAGGAGGCCCAGCGCTCAAGGCTATAGGCAAACGCGCCTTCCTCGCCGCGCCAGCTCGCCCGCCCCTTCCGCGCCGTGGCATAGAACGTGTCATGCATCCACTGCTAGGTCAAAACCTCGATGTAGCAGCGCTGTGCGCTGGGCTTCGTGCTGTCGGCAGTCGCGCCGCGGACCAGGTCTTTCGCGAGTGCCCCGCCCCCCGCCCAGTCACGATGCCGTGCTGGCGGCGCCACTTCGTTTTCCCAGTGGGCACCCCCGTGCACGCGCTGAACAATCGCCGCGGGCGCGCGCCAGAAGGGTGGGAGAGCAAGCTTTCGCCGCCAATTAAGCAAGACCGCGCGCATGGACTGCGACGTCCAGGGACGCCTGGCACATCACCTTCCACTTGGTCAGCGCGCAGCTAACCGCGCGCCGCATGGCGCCAATGCCGTTGGCGATGGGCGGCTTAAGGAACGGGCTCGGCACCCGCGTAGGTACTGCGCAAATTTCGAAAAGCCTGCGCGTACTCGGAGGCATCCAAAAAGCTTCGTGTAGTGCAAGGATTTCTCTGCTGTTTAGGACAAGCAGGGACATGAGTCAAGCGCCCGAAGACAGTGATCACCGACGTTGGATAGAGGCGCGCGTTCGCGTCGATGGGCGCCGTTGTCTGCCCTGGGGGCAACGACCCGTTGCCGCCGTGTTGCCGCTGCCGCGCGCCATGGGAGATCGGCGGAAGTTTCTGCCCCACGCCCGCGCCAAAGTGAAGGTCGTCGCACGCAAGTTTGCAGAGCGCCCCGTCGGGCACATGACGGTGCGGAAAGGTCCTCGGCCGCCCGAGCTCGCTGCGAAAAACGGATCGCCCACCTTCTCCCCCAAGCGGAATGACAACGCATGTCTTGACGTTGACCGCAGGTTGCCGTGGATCCCGGCATGGTGGAAAATGTCATGTAGTGGCCGCAACAAGCGCAGGCAGTGCAAGTGCAGTCCATGGGAATCAACGCAGGCTCCAACAAACCACTTCTCGGTCGTTTGGGAGAACCTCGGCGATCGCGCGAATGATGGCGTCTATGGCAATGGCCCATATGGCGCCAGACAAAGGGCGCCCTGTCCCGCGCCCGAGTCGAAGGGGGAGATCACGATGCACTTGCCGTTTGGAATGGTGGCCCCGCTCGCTTCGTCGCAGCGGAATCGGCGCAGGGTCTCCAACGGCCAATGTCGCCCCAGCGATGGCGAGGCCGCAACGAGTCCGAAGGGAGCCTGGGTCGGTGCTTCAGGATCACCTCGGGGAAGCCACCCAGAATTCGTCTCATGGTGCCGACCATAACTATATTGCGGCAGAAATTGCGCATGCGAATGAATGCTTCGCGCGGGGGCCTCCACCTGCGTCAGCAGCTGCAATTTCGAAGCCGCTGCGAAGACCCCGCGGCCGATGCCGGCCTCGAAATAGGGCGCTACCTTCTCGCCTCGCGCGCGCAAGATCCGTTGTCCGCCCCATTGGCCCCGTTGACCATGAAAGAGAATGTGGGGTCGCTAAACGGCAACTGGCGCACGCCCACGCTAAAGAAGGCCAGGCGAGCTCCTCCAAGATGCCTAGACAACCCAACGGTCTCCCAAGCCCAGCGCAGAGGTCGGTCAGGCCCAGGCGCCGACGAGCGCGCGCGAAAAAGCGACGGCCATCATGGTGACAAGAGGGCGCGGACGATGGTGTCGACATGCGGAGGCGCATGGTGGTCAACGAACTTCTTTGACCCCCGCGTTGGCGACCTGCTTGCTGGCGAATATCGGCAGCCGGTGGGCTTGAAGCGCCCAGGACTGTTCTTCAGGGCTCTGAGCGATGACCATGGAGTCATGGGCGCGGATGTGATCTGCCGCAGTGGCCGTCTCCTGGCGCCGTCGTGCGCTGGCGCGGTGCTTTTGGAAAGCGTCCTCCGCGAAGGCACCCTCGCCGGGGAGGGCAGGGTGGGGTGCGATGCTGCCGCCCTCCGCAAAATGGAGAGCTGCCTGTCCGAGAGCAGCGGTCGCGCGCGGCGCGCGCGCCAATTCGCTGTCCTGCCCCCGGACGGCGCGCGAGACAGAACGCCGCGTTAGCGGGCGATCTCCGCGCGAAGATTGCGCGTGTCGGCCGCGAAAAAGGCGCATCAGGCGGTCGCGGGTGGGCCGCGCGGCCTCCGCATGGTTGCGCTTCGCATTGCACCGTTGGTTTTCCGCGGTGACATCTCGCGCGCGCGTGATCCGTGAGTTGGTGGAAGAATTTCTGATTAGGAAGTGGCCTTGAAAACGACGTCGTGCATTGGCTACGTGTCCTTCTCCGTGGGAATGGCTGGCGTAGCGCGGGGCGCCGACGCGGCGCGGTCGCTAAGTCGCTGGTCGCTGAGCTCTGCGGGGCGCCGGGAGAATTGAGAACGCGCGATCGGCCCTAGTCAGCCTGGGCGAGTGCACAGCGAGCGCGGCAGCCCCCCCACTGCTCAACTCCATTAACTGCGAAATGAGCCTTCGCCGAACAAATTGTCGCAATTGGGCGTCTCCCGCCCGAGCGGGCGAGGGCGGTTGATGCGCGGCCGATGCGCGGCCGCGGGCGCCGAAGATTCGTCGGGCATGTCGATGTCGGCAAGCGCCGAGGAGATCCGATGCATAGGCGCAAGCTTAGACTGGCCAACGCACTTCGCCCAGTGCCCCTTCGGAATCTGCCTGCGCGACGGCCGAGGTCGCAGTCGCGAGCGTTGAGGGCGGCCGCGTCGCAAGCCGCGCCGGCGCAGTGTTCAACGGCCTGCGTTCGGCAAGGCACAAGCGGGCGGCGGGGGACAAGACGGCGCCCGCCCTCTCGAGTAACGCAGCAGCGCGACGGGGCGGGTATGGGGCCCAGGACGCAGGCATCAGCGGAGAGGGCGGCCCATGCGTCAGGGGGCGAGGAGTCAGAACCTCCCGCGGCCCCCCAGTCGAGGTCGTCGGCAGGCTTAGCGCCGAACTTCTCGCAAGAGGAAGAATGATCAACAGTGGCGCCAGTCTCGCGAGTGCATCGTCATCTCGCGAAGGAGTGCCGCGGGGGGCGCGAGAGAGTCCGCCGCGGGCAAACGGAGGTCGTGATCATCAGGATGTGCACTTGAAGAAGAAGAGCTTGAGGTCGATCTTGGGGCGGCCGAGCCTGGGGATCTTGTAGGTCGAACTTGTAGACGTCGAAATTGAAGGAATATTGGCTTCCGAGCGGGGCCCACGGCTGCGCCGGGGGCGCGCAGCCGACCCGCTGCTGGCCATCTTCGACATCGAAAACATCTCGGTCCAGAAGATCTGTGAGAAGAACAGCGGCTCCTCCAACTTTGGACTCGCTAGATCCACGCTGGAACAAGAACAGTAGCACGCGGGGCCCGGCAAAAAAAAACATGGCAGGCGAAATAGCTTGCCGTGGAGTGATCGCGGCAGGATGCTGCGGCACCGCCGCGTCAGCGGGCGAAAGACCGCCAATTTTTCCCAGCGCCGTCGAGGATTGACAGCGAGCGGCCCTCCCCCACCCTCAGATTTCATAAGGCGATGCGCGGCTGAATGGCGCGGCCAAGCGGCTGCTGAATGCGCCCCCATTGTCTGCCGCGGAACTCCTCGAAGAAGTCGTGGAAGGCGCGGGCGATGCTCTCTGCGTCGATGTCGCGCACGGTGGCCCGAGCTCGATTTCATCCCAATTCGGTCTCGACTTGAGCAGCGCTGCTCGCGTCAGCCCGTGCCGGAGCGCGCCCCGTGAACCCCCGCGGCCTTTCAAGATGTGCATATTCACCTCCGGGAAGACGCTGTAGCCGCCAAGTTTGAATCTCTCCCCGAAGCAGTCGAAGACTGCAGTCGGTGCTGGCGCGCAGGTTGGCGGGTTCATCCGTGGCCGCAGTGGCAGAGAAAAGACGACATCCACCTCCTTGATGTCTAAGTCCTCTGTCCAGTGCCGTGGCCCTTGGCGTGGCGACGTGTGGTCCTCCGAAAATTCGAGCGGCAAGCCCCTGTGC